GCACACCTTTCTTAATTTTAAAACTATCTTAATAACATTTAAACAGAACAAACTATAAAAATTCCCTGATATATAAAACACTCAACATATGATAATGATGGCTTCCTTTCACCTCCTCCTTTTGTCTATCACTCATCTGTCAGTTTGTCATACTGGGGTGCTTTGATGCTGAAGCTATGCTACCAGTATTTCAATGACCAGAAGGGTCACCTATGGTGGACAAGTTTTTGTGGAGTTTCCAGGCTAAGACAGACTAGGAAAAAACTACTTAAAAACTTGGCACTGAAAACTTATAAGTAGCAGTAGAACACTGTCAGTTATAGTTGCCTGAAGATGAGCCCCTTTGATTGGATGGTAGGTACTCAAAAGATGACTGGGGAGGAGCTGCCTCTTCAAAGTGGAGTCAATTTTAATAATTTTAATAATGTGGATAAAGTAAAACATTCAGAATCTACATTTGCTGATGTGGTATTACCTAGAATGAAATGAAACCGCTGCTCATATCCATTAATAATTAGAATGTGGAACATACAAAGTGTTAATCCAGAAAAATCAGAAGTTGTCAAAAAATGAAATGTAATGCATAAAGATTAATATCCTAGGCATTAGTGAGCTGAAATGGTCTGGTAATGGTCATTTTGAATTAGACAAGCTTGGGGTCTACTGTACCAGAAATGACATATTGAAGAGGAATTCATTGCATTCATTGTCAAGAAGAACATTTCAAGAACTATCCTGAAGTACAACAACACTGTTAGTAGTAGGAAAGTATCTATACATTTACACGAAAGATCAGTTAATATAATTATTATTCAGATTTACTCACCAACTACAAATGCCGAAGACAAGGAAATTGAAGATTTTTACCAACTTTTACAGTCTGAAATTGTGCAGTCAAGATGCACTGATAATTCAGTCTGTATGCTTAACAAATAACCTGAGAAGCTAGACTATATGAAGCACATGGCATCAGGATTAGAGGAAGACACATCAACAGCCTGCAATATACAGGCGACACAACCTTGCTTGTTGAAAGCATAGAGGACTTGAAAGACTTACTGAAAAAGATCCAAGTATGCATTACACCTTGACACAAAGAAAACAAAAATCTTCATGACCAGACAAATAAGCAACATCATGATAAATGGGGAAAAGTTCGAAGCTCCCAGGTGTTCGTTACACTTTATTTTGGTCAACAATCAACACTGGTAGAGACAGCAGTCAAGAAATCAAATGATGTATTGCACTGGGCAAATCTGCTGCAAAAGACTTCTTTAAAGTGTTAAAAATCCAAGATGCCACTTTGATTAAGGTGCCCCTGACTCATCATGATATTTCAATTGTCTCATATGCAAATGGAAGCTGGATAATGAGTTAAGAAAGACTAAAGAAGAATTGATGCATTTAAAATTATGGTGTGAAGTATATTAAATATACCATGAACTGCCAGAAGATCGAACAAATCTGTTTAGGAAGCAGCGCAGTCAGAATGCTCCTTACAAGTGAGGATGGCAAGATTTTGTCTCACATACTTTGGACATGTTATCAGAAGGGACCAGCCCCCATAAAAGGACATCATACTTGGTAAAGGAGAGAGTGATTGAAAAAGAGGAAGACCCTTAACAAGACAAGTTGAAACAATGGCCACTACAATGGGTTCAAACATAGCAACAACTGTGAGGATGGCTCAGCACTGGACAATGTTTCATTCTGTTGTACAAAGGATCACTCTGAGTTGAACTGACTCGATGGCACCTAACAATAACAATGCTTTACTAGCACATACCAATAAAAATTATAAACACAAAGTAATGCGTTCTCAATAAGACTTCCTGGCACTCAACACTTTCTTCTTTCACTATCTTACCCCTCAAAAGAACCAAAGCATCCATTTCAAAGGATATTAAGTATATATTGTAGGAAAACAGTTGGGAGGTTCCTCAAAAAGTTCAGCACAGTACCATATAACCAGCAATCCCAATCCTAGGTATAAGACCTCAAAGCCGGAATATAACCAGAATCCTGGACACATATGTTCATTGCAGCACTATCCACAACAACCAAAATGTGGAAACAACCTAAATGCCCATCATCAGATGAATGAATAAGCAAATAGAATATATGCTAACTCCATTTTCTTTCAACTCCAATCTTCCATGAAGTTTTTGAAACTCTTTGTAGGTATGGTGGTGGTGGTTGGTGGTGGTGTGCCGTGGAGTTGGTTTCGATTCACAGTGACCCTGTACAGGGTTTCCAAGGCTATAAATCTTAATGGGAGCAGAAAGCCTCATCTTTCTCCTGCGGAACGGCTGGTAGTTTCGAACTGCTGACTTTGAGGTTAGCAGCCCAATTCGTAACCACTGCACTACTAAAGCTCCTATTACTCAGCCATAAAGATAAATGAAGTCCTGAAACATGCTATAACAGGAGTGAAATAAGTCAGACAAAGGAAAAATACCATATAGGCCCATTTACATGAAATAGTCCAACAGAAGTCAAAGCTTATTTCTGTTTAGTTGGAAAAGAGGAGACGAGAGGGAGTTACTGTGTAAGGAACACTGAGTTTATGTTAATGGAGGTGGAAAAATTCAGAAAAGGATTGTGATAATGGTTGTACAATATGAAGAATGTAATCAGTGTTACTGAATAATACATGTAAAAATTTGCTGAATTGGTCAATATTTTGCTATGTATATTTTTACAACTTAAAAAATGTTGTAGAAAAAAATGTTTATGAAAGGAAAGGATCTATTAAGTGCAAAAAGCTCTTACAAGTCCAACGTGAATCCATCACGGTAAATAACAGAAATATAAGTGTGTGTGTGTGCACACGCGTGCATGCACACATGCATACTAAGGGAAACAGACAAGGTGTGTGCACAACAGAGTAATGGACTAAGATATGAACTATGCAGTAATTCTGTTTTGCTTACTGATGCTTTCTAAATACTCAATAATGAACACTTCAAAATTTTAAAATACGTTTTTGAAAAAAGAATATATTGTCACTTTCACCCATTATCGGTGGGGCTGTAAAATGGTACAGCTGCTGGATGAAGGAGTTTGGTGGTTCCTCAAAAAGTTAAACCAATGTAACCAATAATCCCACTCCTAGGCATTTACCTGTATACCAGTGTGCACAACAACATTACTCACAATAGTCAAAAGGTGGAAACAATCCACCAACAGATAACTGGATAAACAAAATATGGTTTATACATACAATGGAAATTATTCAGCCATAAAGATAAATGAAGTCCTGATACATGCTTAG